TTCAATGCAATTCCAATACAAATCACAATGGTGTTCTTCAATGAAATGGAACCAATATGGCTCAAATTCGTATGGGATTTTTATAGGGCAGCCCCGACATACAAAACGGGGGTGCCTGACTGTGGTCCTCACCCGTGCACTTAAAAGGAGAATCAATGCTCTACTGCAGGCACATGTGAAAGGTTAATGAAAGGTTTATTTACAAGGGAGGGCAAGTGGAAATGTACAGCTCAGGGAGAAAAGTGGGAGAAAAAGTTTTAAATGAGTCTACCCGATCCACCAATCTGGAATCCCAAATGGCACTCTGAGAGCTGGCTGCAAGCCAGGAGCCGTGAAGCCAGGAGGCAAGCAACAGCGTGCCAGCCCAAGGCTACGTGTTTGGTTTTTTATATCCAACCTGACTGCTTAACTCCACCCTCAGGTCCCAGCCACCTTCCTTTGGTGGTGACGGGATTTGTCTTTACCAATGTCTTGATGGTTTTAGTCTGGAGTGGGAGTGGAGTCCACAAAGCCTGTATGGGATTAGCTCAGGAATCCTTTCCCCCTAACAGGATCACAAAAACCTCTAGTAGTGAAGTTCTTCTGACTAAAAGTAGGTGGGGGGAAGGAGGTATGGTTGTTCAGGCAACACCACACTGATAAAGAAACCGGAGTCATGGAGCAGGCTACATAATGCAGAATGTTGCTGAAGAGCATGATCCTGGACATTTTATGATTCACAGCATTAGTTATAAGGGCGAGGAGCAAAAAGAAAGGGGAAGGAGATTAAGGGATAGGAGATGAAAGAAATGGGAGAATGTAGAAGATCAGGGATTGTGAATCTGTCTTCCAGGCACTTCTCATCTGCTGGAAGACTCTCGGTATTGTCTTTGAGATCACACCCTAATCTCCAGCCATGGTTCTAATCTTATCACAAGGCTTCCACTGATCAGCTTCTGGGGTCCTTTGTTATACATCGGTCCTCCGCACCCCGGGCGTTCCCGTCATACCTTGATGATGCATAAGTCGAAAGTACATGTTATATCTTGGTCCTCAGCCCCCTGGTGTTCCCCGTCACACTCGTGATGCATAGCTTTCCAGCGTGATCCAGCTTTGTGCTCTTGTTTGATTTGAAAGGGCACCTTGAAGGATGGGCTCTGACCTAACTGACCGGCCATCTTGACCTTGCTTAAAACTACAGGTGATGGGGCCTCCCGGTGGCGCAGCGGTTGAGCACTGGGTGCGAAACTGCCTGCAGCCTCTGCGCCCAGTTCGATCCCCGGCTGCTCCCCGCCAGCAGAGAGGGTCCCACATGGCGCGCAGACCTTCGCCGCCCGCTGCCCCTCAGCAGTGTGTTTCATCATCTGCCTGCTCTGCTCCTGCTCTGACTCTGGTGAATTCTCTCACCTCCCTTGCTTCTGATGTACCAGTGCTTATATAAATAAATAAATAAATAATAAATAATAAATAAATAAATAAATAATCTTTAAAAAAAAAAATAAAAAAAATAAAAAAACTACAGGTGATAAAACAATCGGGTAGAGTAGCAGACCCACAAGGTATTACACCCAGACATCAAAGAATACTACAGCTATTATAATAAAACATTTTGGAACAAAAACAGACACAGAGACCAAGTGAACTAACATATGACACAGGAGCTAAGACTATACATTGGAACAAGAATAGCCTCTTCCATAAATGGTGCTGGGGAAACTGGATTGCAACATGCAAAAGAATGCAACAAGGGAGGATCAACATGGCGGTGATGAAACACTGCGAGTAAGATCTCCCATTAAAAATAAAAGTTAACAGGGAGGAAAAGCGGCAGGTCCCAGTGAGAACTGTGACACGGAAGATAAACGGATGACTCCAGCAAACTACCCGAAGAAGAAAGTTGCCATAAAAGAGGACTAGAAGGGAGGAAAGCTCAGAACCCTGCTACCCTCCCCAACCACAAATCAGCACTCTCTGACCAACAGAAGGAGGAAAAACAAACAAACTACAAAAAAAACCTAAAACAACAAGAACAAACTACGCATCAAGCAGGACTGTGAGTGGAAAGGAACTATTTCAGCCACCACACCCCGTAAACTGGAGCTGTGGAGAACCCTGGATTCACCGTGGAGGTGAGCAAATGGCTCCAGGCCATTAGAGAAAAACAAAGACTCCCGGAGACCTACACACAGCCCAAGCCAGCCGGTAAGCTTGTGCGGGAAAGTGGCGCACATGAAAAGCAAATGCAGATCACGGCTGCCCAGGTCCCCGCACCTGCAAACTAGGCTTGTGAATATGCGCAGGGCCCTCACTGAGGTGAATATCCCTCACTGAGTAATCAGAAACCAGGCGCCTGGACACGGGAGCAGTGTGCAAAAGGCGCCATTTCTGCGGACACTGAACTGGGCAACAGCCCGCGTCCTGGACCTGAGGGCTTTGGAACTAAGACCCAGGGCACAGAATTCGGGCATGGGTTCCCACGACGGTGGGGCACAAGGCAGACACAGCACACTAAAGCCGTTGAGGCTTCCCCACCACTCCCACTCTGTTCCCCATCCCACGGGGTAAAAAAAAACAGCTTCCCAAGGACACTAGGAGAGATCTCTGGCGCCACCTAGTGACCAGAAAAAAATCACCAACACCCCATAGAATAGGGACCTTTCTTCAGTAAAGACTGCCTGAAACAAGCAGAAGGCTCCTGGAGGAGCAGTGGTGAGCTGGGAAGTTCACCCACGTCAGGCCCCTTCTGACCAGCAGTCCTAACCCAGAGGGGAGCGGGCACCCCAGCCAGGGCAGACCAGGTGCGCGGAAGAGTGTGCCTGTCTCTGAATCACATTTTAGAATAGGGACCTTTCTTCAGTAAAGACTGCTTGAAACCAGCAGAAGGCTCCCGGAGGGCCAGAGGTGAGCTGGAAGTTCGCCCACACCAAGCCCCTTCTGGCCAGCAGTCTGAGCCCAGAGGGGAGCGGACACCCACGGCTGGGACAGACCGAATACTCAGGGATTACATACCTGCATTGCCTTTTTAGGACAGGGACCTTTCTTCAATAAAGGCAGCCTGAAACTGGCAGAAGGCCACCAGAGTAGTCAGAGGTGAGCTGGGAATTTCGCCCACGCCAGGCCCCTTCTGGCCTGCAGTCCCAGCTCAGAGTGGTAGCGGGCACCCACGGCTGGGGCAGACTGGGTGTGCAGGGAGTTTGTCCCTCATCGCCAGTTTAGAATAGAGACATTTCTTCAGGAAAGACTGTCTGAAACCAGAAGAAGGTTCCCTGAGGGCCAGAGGTGAGCTGGGAAGTTTGACCATGCCAGACCACTTCCGGACTGCAGTTCCAGATCAGAGGGGGAGCAGGAAACTACAGCAGGGGCAGACTGGGCAAGCAGGGAGTGCATCCTGCATCGCCATTGTAGAACAGGGACATTTCTTCAGTAAAGATTGTCTGAAACCAGCAGAAGGCTCCCGGAGGAGCTAGAGGTGAGCTGGGAAGTTCGCCCACACCAGGCCCCTTGTGGCCTGAAGTCCGAGCCCAGAGGGGGAGCAGGAACCCACCGCTGGTGCAGACAGGGCGCACAGGGAGTGCGTCCCACATCACCATTTTATTTATTTATTTATTTATTTATCTATCTATTTATTTATTTTCTTTTTTATTTAATTTTTTTTAAATAATAAATTTTATTTTTTATTCCCCCATACAATTGCAACCCCCCATTCTGATCCCTATCCCCCCCTCCGCCCCCCACCCCAAAAACGTGTCTCTGGTTCATAGTTTTTTGTTGATTTAGATTTACACTTTCTTATAGTTATTCATTTTCCTGGTCCCTTATTTAAGTTTTCTAGATTCCTGCTATGAGTGAGACCATCCGGTATTTTTCTTTTTCTTTCTGGCTTATTTCGCTGAGCATGATCCCTTCCAGCGCCATGCATGTTGCTGCAAATGGCATGTGTTTATCTTTTTTGAATGCTGAGTAATAGTCCATGGCATATATGTACCACATCTTCTTGATCCAGTCATCTATTTTTGGGCATTTGGGTTGTTTTCAAAGCTTAGCTATTGTAAATATTGCTGCTATAAACATAGGGGTGCAGGTGTTCTTTGGAATTGATGTTTCTGTGTCCTTTGGGTAAATACCTAGGAGTGGAATTGCTGGATCATATGGAAGATCTATGTTTAGTAGGTCCAGAAATCTCCACACAGCTCTCCATAGTGGTTGGACCAGTTTGCACTCCCACCACAATGCAGGAGAATTGCTCTGATGAATAGTGAGGGCTGACTTCCAATAAAAAGTTCTCCTACACTCACGATATTTGTAAGGTTTCTCTCCTGTGTGAGTTTTCTGATGTTTACTGTGGGCTGATTTCCATTGAAAAGATTTCATACACTGCCTGCATTCATAAGATTTCTCTCCTGTGTGAGTTCTTTGATGTACAATAAGGGCTGACTTCTGACAGAAAGTTTTCCTACAATCTTTACATTCATAAGTCTTCTCCATGGTTTGAGACTGCTGATGTTCAGTAAGACCTGACTTCCAGAAATAAGTTTTCTGACACTGCTTAGACACTAAGGGTGTCTCTCCAGTCCAAGTTCTCTGACATCTTTTGAGGGTTGAATTATCGGACATTTTCCCTAATTCATAAGGTTTATCAGCTGCTTGTATTTTCTCATGTTGAGTAAGGAAAGAGAATTTATAAAATGTTTTCCCACATATATTATAGTCAAAAACTTTCTCACCTAGTGGTACTTCCTGAAGCTGAGTAAGGTTTAATTTTGTTCCAAAATAATCCCCACTTTGATTACATTTGTAGTGTTCAAAATCTTTATGAAGATTCAGATGTGTTGGTTTCTCAAAAAAGGATGATTCCCATTTATTACATGCATAGTATATCTGCCCGACCTGAGCTCTACCTTGGGCAATGAGAGCTGACATATAACAGCCTTTCCTACACTTATATTGAAAGGCATTCTCTCCCATCAAATCCCTTCTTTGGGTACAAAAAATATTGTTTCTTTGTTGATGTATCTCCCTTCTCCACTAAATTCCAAAGGTTGCTGCAAAGTTTGAATCATACGATGAAGACTAGGATACTCGGGATATCCAGGGCATTTTCAAGTTACACTAGGCCTCTCAATTTTCTCTATTGCATGCATCTCATCAGGCTCACCAGGGAAGAACATGTTCTTCCAAGTATGAAACTCTACAGGCATCATTCCTGAATGAATGTCATTATTTATACTCAAATTCAAATTATATATTGGATGCAAATTAAGTGGTTTTCCTAAGTCAATTATTTCCTTACTTGATGTTTTGCCATTGGCGATTAGAACTTGCCACAAATGCCTGCCCTGGTTTTCCTGGTTGGTCTCAATCAGGTCATCCACAGTATGGGCATCTAAAATGAGATAAAAATAACCATTCCATAAACAACATCTAGGCATCTAAGCATTTCTGATACAAAGGTAAAGGAGTTTCTTCCCACACTAGGACAAGACTATTTTTTTAAAGGGCATTAATATTATGATGCAAATGATTCCTTTACATAATAAATGAAAGTATGAAATTACATTAATAGATTTTCTAATGTCAAACACATTGATGGAAAAGATATGAAAAACACTGATTTAATATCTTACTTTTTAAATTCATAAGGGTATACTTGGTCAACATGCTGACATACACTGTAGGTAGAGATTTTGACTGAGAGCTTTCCACCTAGCATTTATTTATCCTATTCCTTCTCTATATATTATCTTGTAAATGTGCATCTTGAGCAGGTCTTTTCAGAACAATCACAACATACTTTGTAAATGGCATGATCATCCTGATCAGCTACTTACTAGGTTTAAGGAGAGCCATTTCTGTCACTTAAGCAGGACTTTGGCTCCAGGACAAGGACTTTGCATCTACATTTGCTTAGTGTTTATTTCTCCTTAGGGAACATGTACAGGCATCTGGGGGTTTTCTCAAAGGCAAAACCTCTTCCTTCTCTAAGACACATTCATTTGTCTCTGAATCCCTAACTAAACCATACACCAGTGGCTTCTCAGAACCATAGTAGGTACAGAAAACCGGCTCATCACTTTGTGCAACCCTTCCCTGATGATATAAAACATTTAGGTTTTGCAACTTAAGGGTATACTCAACATCTTTGAAAAAACTTTTCCCACTTTCCTCTGATACTAAGATTCCTAGTATTCTTAACTCCACTTCTCAGCACATGCTCCTAGTTGAAATTCACTGCATCTGAAGATTTTAGCTTATATTTTAGAATTTCATTGCATCCTAGTTAAACTTAAATCAGAGTCCATTGTTTCTTTTCTTTGTTTTGGCTTTTCTCCCAACTATTTCCAAAAAAGAAGGTGACATCACAAACTTCAGTCTCTGATTCCAAGGCCCCTGTCCCCACAACCTGAAATTCATGGTTCAGTGCCTTTGGAACTGACAAGGTTTGAGTTAACAAATTCCTAATCTGCACCCCTAATAGTGATATCCAACCTCTACTCCAGATTGCACATTCAAGTCATCTCAACCTTATACGCTACAATGTAAACAGTCTCTGCAAAAGTCCCTTCTGAACCCACATTCTAAAATAATACTGTCCGTTTTCTCTCACCCTGGTCATACTATGGCATTTATCTAATTAATGTGTATTTGCTTCCTCTCTCTTTCTCACAGAAAATAAACTCCATTACAAAAGGTGGGCTAGGGCCTCCCTGGTGGTGCAGCACTTGAGCGCTGGGCTGTGAAGCTGCCCACAGCCTCTGCCAGCACCGGTTCAATCCCCGGCCACTGGGTGAGAGTCCCACATGGCACACAGACCTCTCCTGCCGCCTGCTGCTCCCCTCAGCAGTGTGCTTCAGTCTTTCTGCCTGTTATGCTCCCTGCTCTGGCTCTGGTGAATCCTCTCACCCTCCTGCACTTCTGACTGTACCCAGTGCTCATATAAATAAATAAATAAATCTTTAAAACAAGGGGGCACGTTCCTTTGATTACTGTTGTTATCCACACAACTTACCATTACCATGTTGAAAGAATAAACAATGTATGAGTAAATGCCTGAAAGGACAGTCCTAAGAATGGCGTAAAACTGAGACTCCAGAGATTGATAAACCAAAAACATTTCTAGGGGAAGTTAGTTAGCGATTGCACACCAGTTACTCGAAGGATACTTACAACCATTATAAAAGTAGGGAAAATTAATTAGGGAGCCATATTTGGAGAACAAATAATGAATGAATCACATACACAGAGACCAAACATTCTAAGGTCTGGATATGGGGAAAATAGCTCAGTAGGGCCAAGAATCCTGGGCTCTCCTCCTCCCAGCCTCCCTGCCCAGTATGCAGTGACTGACCTAAGAGGCTCTGGTTTGAGGGTTCCTTGACAGTCCATGGCACTGCTCCCTGCTCCAATCTGATGATGAACTCAGGTTTGTTAACACAAAACCCTGTTGATAAGAGAAAATGTTGACTTTAGACAAAACTGCTTAAGTCTCAGTCTTTGAAGACAACAACAGCACAGCTTTAAGAGCTGAGCAATGAAAGGCTGGTGTGGCTCTCTGACAAGGGTGAACACCCTTACCTTCCAGGTTTGCCATCTTGAACTAAATAACATTAATTTCATAAACAGCTGTACATTTATCAATGAAGATAAAACAGTGCTTTCACTTGTTTATCGCAGGGCAGTTTTACTTACCCATGGACAACAGACTGTTGTAGGTCTCCAGCATCAAATCCATGTAGAGAGTCCGCTGAGCATCATCTAGGTCCTGCCACTCCTCCCAGGTGAAAACCACAGCCCCGTCCTCAAATGACAACATCTCCTTTAATGAACATTTCTCAATTCAAGGCATCAGCCTATGTCAGAAGCATAGGATGTGACTGGGAGCTCAATATTTTATGTTTTATCTTGTATAGGAAGAAGCCATCACTGGTACTCTATATGGTACAAAAGTGATTCCACAGTAGAATTATCCTACTTGTCTTAACTCTCATTAGCTCTTAGAAGTACTTTTATAGCTTTCCTTATAAATCTGGAAATGTCCTTCATGCTAAGGATGAAAGGATGAGTAAAAACCTAGTCCTCAAAGAAGCTAATCATCTAGTTTGCTGACTTAAGCATAGACATACATCTGGAATAATGTCCAAAAGCAACTATGACAAAAACAAGTTTAGTGTAGACTGGGGTTAAAAAAGGAGGGGCGGGTAAACAGCACTTTCTGTTATCAGGTTGTACTTCACTGAACATCCAAAGATGTTTAGCAATTCTATAAACCACATGTTCTTATGAATATGAGGCAGTAGAAGAAATCAAGATGTGAGGAAATAAAGAGCAGTTAGCAAATTAAAGTGCTCCTAGCTTGTGAGGTGAAATAGGAGAAAGACTGAATACGAAGTTAGTTTGCATTTCCAGATACAACCTGATTCTGGCAATAAAAGTCTTAGGTGATCAACATGTCTCTAATAAACTATTTAAAGTTTGCAGACATCCTAATTACCTAAAGACTTATTTTCATTCCCAAATGAGCAAACACTTTCCTAAACCACAGGGTGTAAATAACAAGGGAATAAAAATAGGTAAGTGGCACAGGGGTTAAAGTATCAGTTCTATCAAGCTATCACCAGCTACTGTGGCTTGAGTTCAATTCCCAGGCATGGAGTTGACCCACATGGCACAGCAGACCTCTCCTGTCCTGACCGCTGCTCCCCTCAGCAGTGTATTTCAGGCAATCTGCCTGTTCTGCTCCCCACTCTTATCTCTGGTGAATCCTCTCACCACCCCACATCTCTGGCCTACACTACTGTTCTCTATGCATAAATAAATAAAAATCTAAAAAAAATAAAGTAAGTAAGTTACATGGTGGAATTTTCAGTTTAACAGTCATCCCCTAACAGGAGGATGGGAAAATGCATAAGGGAAAGTCAGAGAACAAAGCAGAGGGACAGCGTTACGTATACTGTGGTAACAGACTTGTAGGCATATAGAACACAGCAGTAACCCTAACACAGAGCGCAGTGAGGGAGGAATGGAATGGAACTGGGTAATACTTGGCTGTCTGAAGGGTGAATTCCCTGCTTGATGCAGGCCTGCACGTCACACATTGTCCCTAGGTGACAGGGGCTGGCACACTACTGATGTTCTGCAAGTGCCAGCAATCTAGGCCCTAACTCTGGCGACTCCTTGTGCATGCAAGACTCAGAAACTGGATCTACCATTGCTATAACGCAGCCAGTATCCCATGGCTGAGTGTTTTCATGTATGGAGGACTTGTATATATTAATTTTATAGCCTGGTAATTGTGATTCACTATGGTTTTCCAAGTATTGGGTATAACAAATTATGATATTTTAAACATTTTTTATTTATGCACACAAGAGCTGGGGAGTAGGTCAGCATTACAGGGTGAGAAGATTCACCAGAGACAGAGTGGGGAGCAGAACAGGCAGATCCACTGAAATACACTGCTGAGGGGAGCAGCAGGCGAGGCAGGAGAGGTCTGCTGTACAGTACTGTGGGTAGCTACCTGGCCGGGGATTGAACTCATGCGGCAGTGGCTGTAGAGAGCTTCATAGGTTGTGTCTCAATCCCTTGTGCCACCACGGAGACCCTGTTTTCAATTCATTTTTGAGTCACTGGCTGGCAGGAAATAAAACTCTGTATATGAGAAAAAAAAAAAGGGGATTTGAAGTGCTGTGGTCAGCTACAAAAAAAGGGGATTTGAAGTGCTGTGGTCAGATACAAAAAAAAAAAACATTCAAGAAGGATTCAATCAATGTGTAAACACAGGGGAAGAGGTCAAAGCTGGATGGAAACAGTAGGGACAGTCAAATCACAGGGGCTGACTCAGAGAGAACTGAAGTATGAAGAACGGGGCACAGAACTGAACACATGGGTGGAAGACATTTATGAGAAGAAACACAAGCATTCAGGGGAAAGAGAAGAAATCACCAGAGAGGCAGTGACAAAAGCAAAAAGTAGGAATTTTCAGATCACGAGTGGTATCGACATAAACAGCAGAAGGTTCAATTAAGGCAGACTAGAGAACCAGGGACTAGTCACTGGATTTGACGGCAACTTAATTATAAAGTGGTGAGATTTACACACAGTGAATTGGGGCTACATTCAGTGTGTCAAAGCGGATACCCACATTTAATGCCTGCCATCTTAAGGTTCAATAGCTGTTATCAATTTCATAAACATTTATTAATTTCGTAAAAGTTGCCCAAAAAACCTAACATCAAACAGCACACCGTGCACCTGAGTATATAGATCAGCTGAGAGAAATGCCAACAGACAGCACATAACACCAAAACGAAGCCCCTAAACCCAGCAGCCATCTCACTGCATCACGTGACCGCACATCACATTTCACCCAAGCAGCATGAACTTAGGGACGAAAGGACTAAACAACAGGCCGAGATGGCCAATGAACACAGATGCAGAGGTCCTCAACAAAATCTTAGCAAGCCAAATTCAACAAAATATCAAGAGGATCATATATCATGGCTAAGTGGAATGGAATTTATTCCTGGAATATGATGATGGTTCAACATACATCCATCAATGTCATTAAAGGAAAAATAAAAATCATATGATCATATTAACAGATGCAGAGAAGGCATTTGACAAGATTTGGTACCTACTTATGATATGTTCTTGTGAAACATAATAAAGGCCATATATGATAAACCGACAGCTAGCATCTTACTCAATGGTGAGAAGCTCCTAAAGCTTTTCATGTAAGATCAGGTACATGACAGTGATGACTTCTCTCACCACTACCGTTCAACATAGTATCAGACAGCTGAGCTGGAGCAACTAGGCAAGAGACATAGAAAAGGAATCCAAATTGGAAAAGTAGTAAAAGCATGACTACTTCAAGATGACATTAGTACAGAGCTACAGAAAACCTGTTAGAACCCACTAAAAAAGTATTAGAAACAATAAATCAACACAGTAAAGTGGCAGACCACAAAATCAATATACAAAAGGCTGTTACAATCCTATGTGTGAATAAACTAGAAGACAAAGAAATCAAGAAAACACCATTTACATTAACATCAAAAAGTATTAAGTACCTATGAAAGAAGTGAACAAAGGAAGTGAAAGATCTATTCAATGAAAACTGCAATACATTTCTAAAAGAAATAGAAGACACGATGAAATGGAAAGATAGTCCATGCTCGTGGATGGGAAGAATCAACACAGTCAAAATGTCCATCTTACCCAAAGAAATTTACAGGCTCAATGCAATCCCTATCAAAATTCTATACGACTTCTTTAAAGAAATATAGGAAATATTACTGAAATTTATATGTAACCACAAAAGACCCTGAATAGCTGAAGTAATTTTGACAAAAAGAAGAATAGAGGTGTCACACTTCCTGACTGCATGTCCATAATAATTAAACAGACACAAAGACCAATGGAAGAGAATTGAGAGCCCCAAAATAAACCCACACTGACATGGACAGTTGATCTACAATAAAGGAGCCAAGTGTATGCAATGGAGAAAGGAAAGTCTCTTCAAAAAATGGTGCTGGGAAGACTGGACAGTCACATATGGAAAAATGAAACTACTCTCTCACACCATGCACAAAAACCAACTAAAGATTGATTACAGACTTGGATATAAGACCAAAATCCACTAAATACATAAAAAGAAAACGTAGGCAAAACATTACACAATGATGGCTTCAGGGATGTCTTTGGGGATTCAACTCCATTTGCAAGGAAAATAAAAGCAAAAATAAACAGTTTTATTTTCACTGCATCAAACTAAAAGACTCTGTACAGCAAAAGGCACTATCAGTAAAGCAAAAACATACCACACTGAATGGGAATAAATATTTGCACATCATATATCTGATGAGGGCTACAGGCAAGATGTACAAAGAACTCATACAACACAAAAGGAGAACAAAGAATCCAATCAAAAGATGGACAGTGGAGCTAAACAGATACTTCTCCACAGACAACACACAGTCTACAAGCACTTGAAAAAAGATTCAATATAATTTACTCTCAGGGAATTACAAATCAAAACTACTATGAGATACCTCCTAACTCACTGAAAATTTCAATATTAAAACATACACACAAACACAAACAGAAACAACAATTGTTGGTGAGGATGTACAGAAATCCTCATGACTGTTGACAGGAATGCAGACGGGTTCAGCCCCTATGGAAAATAGTGTAGAGGTTTCTCAAAATATCAAAATAGATGTGTCATACGATCTAATGATTCCACTTCTTGGCATGTATCCAAATAATGCAAAAGCACTCATCTGAAGAGATATATATGCTCTTCTGCTTATTGTAGCACTATTACAATAGCTACAAGTTATGGAAACAACCTACGTGCTCAAAGGCGGACGAGTGGGTTAAGGAGACGCCGTCTACACAGTGGAACACTCCTCAGCTGTACAGTAAGATGAGCACGGGCACAGGCTCGCCAGGGGCCAGCAGCCAGAGCAGGGATCTGAGAGCGCAGCTTAGCCTGTTGCTCTGGAGTTGGCGCTGCCCAGGGAGCGCTGAGGCCCAGCGGGCTCCATCAGGGGCAGGTGGCTCCTCATTACGAAAATCCTAGACACGTGGGCTCCCTTGACAGGACACGCAGCTGCTGGAGGAGGACTGCGGGGGCTCCAGCGCGCAGCGGGTGAAGAGGGGAAGCCGGGGGAGGCCAGGCTTAAAACACGTGGCCTGGGCTCCGAGCTGGCCGCCAGCCCGCCAGCCCCCCGCACGGGTGGAAGGCTGCGGGGAGCCCCTGCCGCAAGGCAGGCGGGGACTCTGCCTTCCAGCGGGGACAGGCGCGCTCCACCTGGCTCGGGAGGCCATCAAGGCCCGCGGGGGCCGCGCAGAAATGAGCCTGTGGCCAAGCCCCCGCCCCGCCCCGCCCTGCCCGCAGGAGCCCCGCGCAGCCCCGCGGCGCGGGAAAGGCGCACCCCAGATTCTGAGCAGGCGCCTCCCGCGGCCACGCGGGGCTCGGGCAGGCGGCCCGGGACGCCGCGGCACACTCGGTGCACACGCGGCTACAAGGGCCTCAAGACCTGCCAGGCGACGGCGGTGGTGGGGGGCTGAGGGGGCGCGGCGGGGCCCGGCGGGGCGGAGGGGGAGAGGGCGCTGGGGGCCGGGCGCCCTCCAGGCGTCCCCGCGGCGGGAACAGGCCGCCCCGCGACCAGCACCACGAGGCCAAACAGGCCTCTCCGCGGGGACAGGCGCCCCCGCCCCGCCCCGCCCGCCGGGCACCAACGATGGTGGGCGGCCCCCGGGGCAGCGCTGCCCTCCGGCTCCCGACGGCGCCTCCTCCTGAGGGGCCTCGTCCCGACCGCGGACAGTCCCGCGCGCCCCGGACCGCGGCCCGAGGAGCCGCTGAGGAGACGCCTCCGACCTGCAAGGCCCGGCCCGCGCAGCTCCGCCCCCGACGCCCACCAGCAACCACCTCCGAGACGAGCCCGCCCGTTGGCGGCCCTGGCGGCTGAGGGAACTGCAGCCCGGATTTCCGGTACAGACGGGGCGTGGGCGGGGCCGCACCTGCGCAGAAGGACGAGGCAGCCCCGGCCAGTGGGGAACTACATTACCCAGAAGCCCGCGCGCCCGTCAGGGCCGTGATGGCCCTCAGGACGGGCGTCAGCTCCGGGGTGACGGGATGGGCCAGGGGCCAACAAGGCGCCCAGGAGGGACCAGGCATGGCGCTGGTGCGGCACAGCGAGTGAGGCCCTTGCGCTGCCCCCTCCCGCAGCGCGCGTGTTTGCAGCCCGAGGCCCGGTCGCCGCGCCCGGGGCTGCTGCCTCCTCTCCCGGAGGGGGGCGTGGGGAGCCCCTCCCGCGAGTCCTGCGGGCTTGGGGGGACGGGGCGCTTGGGGTCGCGTCCTGAGCGATGACCCAGCCCCGCGGGCCGTTTCCCCTGGACGGGGCGCGCGTGTCCTTTACGACGCGGGGCATTGTGGGTGCCGAGGCCAAGTCCGCAGCGCCGCGGGCCTTGCAGTGACGGGCGCCCACGCGTTGTGGGGCTCCCGCGGGAAGCCCGCGGTGACGAGGCTTGGAGAACACGCCGGGCACCGACCCTGTCCTGGGAAACGCTGTCAACATAGTCTGGCCACAGCAGGCCTGATCCTTTTTCTTTGTCTAGATTTATCAGTTTGTCATGGGTTGTCTTTTCTTTTTTTTAAGATTTATTTCTTTATGCATACACGAGCTGGGGTGCAGGCCAGAGGTGGGGATGGGGTGGGGTGAGTGGACTCCCCAGAGTGGGGAGCAGAACAGGCAGACTGACTGAAACACACTGCCGAGGGGAGCAGCGGGGAGACAGGAGAGGTCTGCGCGCCACGTGGGACCATCCCTGGCCGGGGATCGAACTCGTGCTGCAGCTGCTTACAGCTTCACAGTGCTGAGACTCAACACTTTGCGCCGCCAGTTGTCTTTAAACGGGATTTTACATGACTAATTAAAGCAGTTTAGTAATTACAGGAGCACAGCTTATTTCCAGGTGTATCCAGTGTGTGACTTAATAGTCCCAATACTACATACTGACAAAGCAATACTGTCTGGAAATTAATGAATTTGAATAGTCTGTCCTAGATTCTTCAGTTGAGAACCAATTTGACTATTTTCTATTTTGTATAATATTTTCTAATAATGTCCATGGGTCTGTAATAAGGCTCCACAAAAAAGCGGTTTCATTATTGGTTCAGTCTTACCTGCCTTGAGTGGGGAGGGCAGGCAGGCCAGACTCTAGAAAGCACAGTGCTTCAATTCTCTCTTACTTGTAAAATCTTCCTTACTTTCTGCTGTGAATAACTTACAGGCTGCTTCACACTTTCACAGAAGTCTTTCACACGTTGATCTTAGTACATTTCAGATGTGACTTTTGATAGCAGTTTTGCTGTCTTGATAGGAAGGACCCACTTACACTCCTGGGAGCATTCAAGTGTGACCCTGCAGACCAGCAGCAGCACCTGGGAACTGGTTAGAGAAGCAGAATATGGGACCACGTCGGGAGCTATTCATTAGAAGTTTGCACTCACACACACATGGTGGTTTGGATTCACATTAAAAAATCACCCCAAGACAGAGATGTAGCTCCAGAAGTCTGCATGGTGAGGGTCCTGGCTTTACTCAAAGTATCCTAAATTCTTGCTTTTCAGACTGTGTTTTGATTTTAGACTTCTTATCTTGTTCATCTGAAAAGAGGCTTTGGTGATGAATGTGGGTGTAGCTTAGAGGCTCCTTTCAAGTTAGACAAGAGCAGGACGCTTGACGGCCCTGGGGCAGCAGTTGCACATCCGGAGGTATGACCTGGACACCCTGCTGACTGTTGCACCCCAGGGACTGATCAGTGGACGACTCATTAATAAGACTGGTGCCTTGAGGGCCACTTTGGAAAACAGGCAGTTTCTTATAAAACAAAACATACTTACTAGACCCAGGTTCTACTTCTAGCACTAACCAAAACACAAGAGCAATAAGGATGACACCTGCCTGTTGGCAACAGCCTCGTGGAAACAGCCCAGCTGTGCGCCACGGGCGAGTGACTGGTCGGCCACGGTGGAATGTTGCTCAGCCCTTACGGATAACTGCCGTGCGCCGAGAGCACACACAGCAGCTCCGCGAAGAAGGCGTTTTCTGTGCCCTTAGATAGAACATCCGCGGCTGCTGGGGCAGAGGGAAAGCATCTCCGCTTTGCAGCGGGGCATGGGGCCGCCTGCCCTCCAGATAAGGGAGCGGATGTGAGGACAAGAGCCGGTTGGGGGCAGCTCCCCGGCGGCAGGAGAGACAGCGCGGCGGCCTTGCCACTTCTCTCCAAGTCCCTGGTTGTTCTAAAATGCATCGAAATGATTTGGCAAAGGGGAGAAAAATGTGAGTTGCATCTGAACTCCCCGCCGCTGATGCTTTCAAAACAACAGTGGGACGAAGTGGCGCGTTCGGGGCCCACTCACCATTTCTGATGAATGAGGCGATGGGGGCAGGATGCCGGCGGGAGACCCCTGAGGACCGCCGCCAACTGCGCTCCCGAGTCCTGAACACTGCACCCCGAGGCTGCGGGAACTGTGGCTGTCCAGGGCAAAGCACCCGCCCCACCGTGGCGAGGCATGGCTCCAATCCGGAGGTGTCGGTTCAGGCCGGCCTGTCCCGGCAGGGGCCACACTTTCCTCCACAAACGCCCTCTCTGGCACTAGCGCCAACCTGAGACTCGACGTGGCCCCAGGCCTGAGTCTTACTCTTGACGCCGCTGCTCCCCAACGGCAGGGGACCCCGACAGAACACCCCCTGCCCCCCGGCCCCTGCGGCGCCAACACCCGCCCAGGGCCTGGGTTGTGGCCACGAGCGCTGACCAGACCCACACACGGGGCCCGCCGCCGCGATGGTGCACGGGGACAAGAGCATCTGAAAATTAGTCCTACAAATAAAATATGAACAAACACCAAACGGCAAGCGGGACTCAGCGCTGCAGGGATCTCAACAAACGGGATCACTCTGACCCAGTCTCCTTGTCGGAAGCGGGAAAGAACAGCAGGTTCCAGGTTTTACCTCATCCTGGTAAATCAGTGACACTTTATATAAGCATTCTGACAGTATGAGCTACCCAGTCAAAAAGAGTGAAAATTAAGCTATTTTGACATAATCTGAAAGTAGTATGATGATGCGTGGAGGTTTTATTTCACTTTTTCTTTTAAGATTCTATTTGCGTAGAACTGGGGTGCAGGCCAGAAGTGGGGAGATGGTGAAAGGAACCCCCCAGAGCCAGAGTGGGGAGTAGAACAGGTGGATCCACTGAAATTCACTGCAGAAGGGAGCTGCAGGGAGACAGGTGAGGTTTTCTGTGCCCAGTGGGGAGCTCCCTGGCTGGGGATCAAATTCAGGCCTTGGCAGTGACAGTCTGAGACTCCACCCTTAGGCCACTAAAATCTTGTTTCACTTCAATGGAAATTAAAGATGGCCTACTAAATTCCAAAATTAATAAAGACCGATACCATGTAATAAGAACATGCTCTTTAGAAGACATTCCTGAGGAATGCTTTGTAACTCAGAACTATATACAAATTTAAAATCACTACTATGCAGAAGAAAATCTTTGCAAGTTCAGTACTTCAGTAATGCTAGTGTTTAAAAGCAGGCAGGTGGAAAAAAAAAAAAAAAAAAACAACCCACCCAACCCTGGGTAGCCAATAACGAAAAGAAAGGAAGGTAAAACCTATCAGAAAACCTAAAACAAGTTGAACTTAGCTTGCTTTTCAGACCCTAGGCCATGGATTAACGACATAGGCAAGAGAATCAAATACCACTGTGAAAGCCAGATCAAAATAATTTGCAATGAAACAAACACATACATGTTCATGTTCCAAAAGGTAAATCACAAGTACCGACGTTAAAAAAAAAAAAAAAGGCAACAGCACGCATATCCAAATGTCCTAAAACTGATGCCAGACCTCAAAAAAGCTTTTAAAATTTTGTTTATTGTGGGTGTTTGCATGACATGCATTTTCAGATTGGGGAATGACTTTTTTTTTAAAGCAAGGGGTGGCAGAACAATAATCCAAAGTCATCTTATTTTTTTTTCAAATGTTTAAGATCATTACATTTGTTTGCCAGTATGTGGTTCATCAAGATGTTATATCATTGAACTATGAACATCTGTCAATGGAATTTG